CTCAGGTAATTCAACTATAAAGTCCATTGCAATTTCTTCCCATGGTTGTGTTGGTTCAGCTACTTGTTGAAGGAGGTCAGGGGGTTTCCCAGTTCTGTGTTTCATTGTGGCACTAATTGAGCAGCTTTTCACATAGTCCTTGATGTCAGGTTTCATTTTTGGCCATCAGAACTGTCTTCTGACTAAATGTCGGGTTTTTAAGAACCCGAAGTCTCCCCCTAATTGTGAGTCATGGCTACGCTTTAGTACCATTACTCTTAGATTTGTGGGTACATAAAGTTTCATCCCTTTCCAAGCCATTCAATTCGGGTTGATGCTCCAGGATCCAGGGATCAGTCAATAGTCCTGCTTTCAACTCAGTTGTCAGTTTGTCTTCCAGGCATCTGGGGTTGCAGTTGGCTTGGCCTTGAGTGATTACTTGGCCTGCTGATTGAGTTTCCCATAGTGTGCACTACTTCCTCTCGGTGACTATCAAATTGGGGTTTCCTTGACACGGCATCCTGCCAATATGTTTTTCCCTCCAGGGATATATTTCATGTTGAAGTTGAACCACTTGAAATATTGAGCCCAGTGGACTTGTTTTGGTGATAGCTTTCAAGGCGTCTTTAGAGCCGAGGTTCTTGTGATCAGTCCAGACCTTCTAGAAAATGCCTTCACTCCTTCTAGGAAATGCCTCCAAGTCAACAAAGCCCATTGTACTTCAAATGCTTCCTTCTCCCAGACTGCACATCTTCACTCTGTGTCTGTCAGATTTTTGGACACATAAGCACAAGGCATCAGTCAGTTCTGAGAGTCCTTTTGGAGAAGAATGACCACAACCACCACATCACTAGCCTCAGCTTGGACTATAAAAGGTCTGGTCGGGTCTGGGTGCTGGAGAATGGGTTCAGCTGCAAAGAGGCATTTTAAGATGTCAAAAGCTTTCTGCCAGTCCATGGTCCAAGCAAGGGGTTGACTGGGTTTCAGTTTGGTGGGGGAAGGCCCTGTTTCTAATAACTTTGTCAAAGAGAGGGCAACCTCAATAAAAGAAGGAATGAATTGTCTATAGAAATTGGCAAGACCTAAAAAGTTGGGGGGTTGCCATTCCAGCATGGCTTTCACTTTACCAGGGTCCATTTCAATTCCCTGGTTGCATATTCGGTAGCCTAGGTAATCCAGCGACTCCTTGTGGAATTTGCATTTTGACAGTTTTACATATAACTTGGCAGCTAAAAGTTTTTTCAGCACTAGTCTGACCAATTTGACATGTTCCTTGATAGTTTCGCTGAATATAAGGATGTCATTTGGGTAGACAAAAATCCCCTGGTACAGGTGCGAATGTAACACTTCGTTGATGAGTTGCATAAATACTGCAGGGACCCCTTGAAGTCCAAAGGGCATGACTCGGAATTGGAAACTACCCGAAGGGCAGTTGAAGGCAGTTTTCCATTCGTCTCCCTCTTTTATGTGGACTTGGTAGTCAGCTTCCTTCAATTTGGTGAAGACCTTGCCTTTTGATAGGTGGTTCAATAAATCTTTCACTTTTTGATGCACACAGCATTTACGGCCCTAAAATCAACACATAAACTCAAGCTGCCATATTTTCTTTGAACAGCACTGGGGCAGCCAACCTAGATTTGGCAGGTTCAATGAAACCTCTGTCCAAATTGTTATCAAATTGTTAATTCAGTCATTTCAGCTGGTGTCATGGAATACATTTTTGGTTTTCGCAGTTTTGCCCCAGGTTCTAGCTCTATGGGGCAATCAGTGGCTCGATGGGGAAGTAGAACATTACATTTCTCTTCACTGAATGCCTCAGACAAGTCTCTGTATTGTTTGGGTACTTGGGGGGTACCTGGAAGAAGGTCTGATGCAGTGGCTGCTGCTTCAGGTTCTAGACTCACGTTGAGTGGTAGCTTCTTAGTGGGAGGAAGGGGAGCAGTGGGCGCACCCCAATTATGATTTTTCTGTATCCATCTTCCCACTTGATGGTAGGCGCCCATTTATTTGGCAAGCAAGTCCCAATATGACAGATTCCGACATTCTTGGAGCTACTATAAACCGTATGAGTTCGCAGTGAGAACCCATCTCCAGTTTGATTAACTCTGTCATTTGGGTGGCTGGGACTCCCCCCAATTAATGTCCCATCCACTTGCTCAAATCTGATTGGCCATTTAAGGGGTTTTTATGCCCAATTGTTCAATGGGGAGCCCAATAAGGCATCTGGAGCACAACTTCTAACTCCCCTGCCTCCCCTGTGTCAGGCACTACTAACTTCACTTTGACAGTAAAAGGTGTGATGGGTGCACTCACCACAGGGTCGTCTTCATCAGTGGTTTCTCTGGGGAGGGTGTGTTGGGTTGGAAGTTCATTGCTCCCTTCTGCGTGGAGAGGACCTTCTACGGTGTGTCTGGCAAAGTGGCTAGTGTCATCTGGCCATCTCCAACTGATTCCAGAATGAATTTCTCTTCCCTCCTCAAATTGGGAAAGGAAAAAAAATGGCTGCTTTATGCTCCAGCTTGACTTGGAAACGTAACTTCTTTCCTCTGCATGCTTTAGTGCCTGCGTCACTCCGAAGGGAGGCTGGGGATGCAATTAATCTTCCGGAGCCCCCCCTTCAAGCCTCTTCTGTCTCACCTCCCGTGTTGGCTGATTCTTCAGAATTCTTCATTGCTAGAAGTAAATCCTGGGGCTCATCAACCTCTGGTAGTCCGTGTCCCCCCCCCCCCCGGAGAGCTGAAAGTTGTTAGAGTTGCAGAATATTGTCAGCGTTGCAGAAAAAATACATTCCTGTCAATAACTCCAAGATGCACATCATCTCAGAATACTTTTATTAGAACAGTACCTGGCACCTTCTGTGGAATTCCGGAACTAAAGCTTCTCAGCTTCCACACAAAGTCCCAACCTACAAACCATCCCCTTTTCTGTCATCACCACATCACATGAACCAATCCCAAAGTAAGTTCTAATTCTTTCTGCGCCATACTCTGTAACCTTGAACTATCAAAATGATTATATTTTGTCTACTAAGAGCTATTCAATTAACATCACCCCACTCCCACTTTCTCCAACTATGTGGCAGTGATGAATTCCATAGCTGACACAGAAATTTGGGGCTGAAGTTTGTCGTAAGTCAAGGACTACCTGTATAAAAATATAGTAAATAAAACAGTCTAGTTTTTGGTAATATTTGATAATATCATTTTGGGTGACCTTTTCGAGCTGGAAATGATAGTCACTTGTGTGACTGCTATATGATAGAATTCATACTGATGGATTGCATGGTTTTGCTCTTTTAAGAAACATAATAGATCCCTCACATCTTGGATGTACAATATGAACAGAAATTACTAAGGAAGGTTGTTCCTTAGGAAGAAGAAATCCAAGAAAGAAACCTAAGGAAGTTTGTTCAAAATATTTGGGCTTCAATCTCCAGAAAGCCTCAGTACGTTGGATTAAATTGAGCAGTCAGAAAAACATTCTGGAAAAAAGTAATGCCAAATAACATTGCCACCAGAAGTAAAGACCTCTTAAAGGAGATTCTGTCTTTATTAATCAATATACTGATGACATCCAGCCAGATTTTTAATTTTTGAAGTTTTGTTTATTTCTTTCAATCTGACAATGAGCTTAGTGGAGAGTCCAACGCTAATTTGCATTCTTGGTTTCCATAATTCTGGGATTGATCATTTTAGTAGTTTGTAAACCTGATTCTGAGACAGGTTAACAAATATTTAGTTATCAGACAACCCAAGACCCTTTGGGTCATTGTTTCAGAAATATTTCTTTACAAGTTTTCTCAATGCCCTCAAAAATGGTGGATCTTCTAATGTACTTGAAAAATTCCTAAAAATTCAAAGAGATATTCAGAGATGTATCTGCCTTGAAAGTATCCCGTGTTGAACTATAGCACAGACATCAGGAATTGATTAAATATTTTATGACATTTTGTATTATGTTCTAAAATGCTTTGTGGTAATTTCTATGTCTTAAAATGATTTCTAAAATTTGCCAAATTTTAATTCTATAAGAATCATGGGTCCCAGATTCTGTGTACATTCTGTAAGTTAGCCCATTTGAAGTACCTTGGTTTTTTTTAAAAAAAATATTGCTCAGTTAAACATTACAGAAAAAAAGAGTAAGTAGTAAACAGATGATAGTAGGTAGACCTAGATGGCATGTTTTGTAATCTATTAAGAAAACTGTAAGTACACTATATGTCCATGAAGTAACAGAACTCAACTTGAGGGAGACTTTACTTTTGGTGTAAGTGATATGCAATACTATGCAATATTTCATATTCATAAGAGCATTATTAGCTCAACTGTAAATTTTAAATATGCTACGGTAATAGGATTTCAAGGTTGAGGAGCTTCATAGCTTCTTCTCTTAGCATCAGAGTTGAGCAAGTATATAAAATTTATTCTTTAAAATGAAACAGGTTGCCCCTTTTAATCACTATATAATTAAAGTTTAATAGGTCAGTTTGTAATTTTTCTTCTATTAACAGTAAAAGACCCATCATTTCATAATATTTTAATTCTTTTAAAGTAAATCTGGCCAGTATAGAAAATGCGGATCCTTCCATCCTTTCTGCTGATGTTACATTAAAGAACGATCCTGTTGTGCCTGAATGATTTATAGTATTACAAAAGTAATAATAAAAGGACTATTGTTCCTCTTGCTGTTTAAAAGTAAGTATCTGTGCATAAATCTCTATAGAATGAAATCCAGACAAAATTGCAGTATTCTCTATTCTGCTGTCTGTACTGAATAAATCAATTGCCTGTTTTGTTCATGGCATTTTACTATATAATAACAATCTCCTGTATTACTGAGAAAATCAGAGATGATCTTTGGAATCCTTAAAATACTGTCCCTTAAAAGACACGGCACTAAACAGGTTTTTAGATATGTGTTTCTCAATCTCAAATACATCAGTCTTGGGTGAATATTAATGAATGGGATATATGTCAAATAATCGGAAGAGGTGAATCTCTGACGCTTCTTTGCCCCTCCAGAGATGAAGAAGAGCTGCGAAAGTCCCTTTCGGAATTGGCAGACTCCAACTCAAAGTCTATCAAATGCATCAGCAGCTGCAGCAACCCTTTCCTGGACTTCTCGCAGGATCCCAGCATTGCTATGTACAAGCACGGTCTCCTGGTGCGCAAGAGCCATGCTGAGCCAGATTGCAAAAAGAGTACGTGTGAGAGTTGTGGCATGTTTGTAAGTAAGAGAGAAGCAGGAGGGCATGGGAGGGTGCTCTTTGAGGCTCCAAGAAGGATAATTCCTCTTTGCTGTGCCATTATACAACTTGGGATGTAAGGAAAGAGAGGCTTATTTTTTTACAAGGGTCAACTTTTAAGCCTATAGTTGCTTTAAGACACGTTTCCTTTGACTTCTTGACTTCTTTTCACCCCCATAGTGGTTGGGGGCCTAAGGTCTCCTGGCCTCCACTGACCTCCTTTTCCTTTAATTGCAAATTGTGATGCAAGAAAAGAACAGCAGCCCTTTCTCAGTGAACCAGATTCTATGTAAGATGAAGATGCGGACAGCGTTTCCAGAAAGGGGAAAGAGAAGGGGGAGAGAGAGGCAAAGAAAGCTATAAAGATATAAAAGGAGAGACAGGGTAAAATATGCTTATCAGATTCCCATTCTGTGTTTTAAATTGATTTTAGCCACATCTCTTCCTGGCGCTTGGAAATAAGGCTTTTCTGACATGTTGTGGCATTTTGTTTCCACAAATATGCATGTCAGGTGTACAATTTTACTACAAAGGCAACCATAGTAGGAAGAAGATACTGCTGGCTCATCTTCTAAAGTGTTGGCTATCCCCTCCTCCAACGTGATTTCATCTGCAAATTTGATGATTTCCCTATCTATCCCAACATCTTAATTGTTTGTGAATATGTTTAAGAGTACTGGGCCTAAGACACGACATTTGGATATCCAATACCATTCTCCCTCCCATGTTGTATTACTGCAGAATATAGAACAGTGCAAGGTCCTGCCTCTCCTCCCCATTCAAAAAAGCACGAACTCTTGAAACAGCAGCATTTCGAAAGGTAACCTTTATTGAAAGGAAGTGATTGCAAGACAAAAGCAAAGCAGGATCTAAGTTCCCCTTGGGCAATTCCGTTAGGATAAAGGAGTTAGAAACTCCTCCCTTCAGTCCAATGTTCAATGGGCCAGTCCACAGGTGCGAAGATGCTATGAAAATGGTTGTCGTGGGAAGGAGATAAAAACCTGTTCCCAGGTGTTTCTCTCCTGAGGTTTCAGAGCTGAGACAATAGATGGCCCTCCCCCCTTACACATTCTCCAAAGGTAAATCAAAGCACAGGGCAGATAGGTATCAGAGTTAGGGTTGTAAACTAGGGGATTACAGGTTATGTAGAAACAGGAAGAGGGCAGTAAGTGAATAAATGATCCAGGAGCCCCCTCCCCACTGAAATGAGAGTATCACAATAGGGATCTGACTTGCTGCCTCCCTAGAAAAATGAGAGGTCCACCTGTAAAGAAAACACATGGATCCAGTGCTAAAATGCACAGAATTATTGTATGTGGAGGCAGGGGTGGGATTCAATTTTTTAACAACTGGTTCTGTGGGCGTGGCTTAGTTGGTGGGTGTGGTTTGGTGGTCATGTGACTGGCTGGGCGTGGCCAACTTAACATCACTCACATCGAGGCACGCATCTCCTCACCTGGCCTCTCATGACTGTGGGGATGCTGCAACAGTCGTAAGTGTGAAAAAAGGTCATAAGTCACTTTTTTCAGTGCCACTGTAACTTTGAATGGTCACTCCACACAAGCAAAGTACCAGCAAAAGAGGGGGAAAAAAACTCCAGAGAAGTTCCCGAGACAGGAAGTCCAGTCCTGCCAAGAATGTAATAAGGGTTAACGGAGAGGCAGTTTCTGTAAGCAACACCAGAGTGTTTCCTCCTGCCTTCCTTACAGGATTAGCCCTGTAATTTCTTCTAACAACCTGTTCTCCGGACTGCTTAGAATGTTAACAACCAGTTCTAGCGAATAGGTGTGAACCTGTAGAATCCCACCCCTGCGTGGGGCCCCTAACATGTTTTTTACCTACCTACTCATTCTGGGAAGGGGGAAAATGCTTCCAGGCTACTACATATTGTGTGGGGCCATGGTGTGTATGGGAGTCTAGGATTTCCTTAATCTCAAAATGATGTTCCCTCTCAATCATAATAGGGGTCAGAGGACCGTCTGCAGCTGGCCTTAGAAGTAAGGTGATTTCTGGCTTTAGTAGGCTACAGTGAAACTGTCAGCTGGATCTGACCCAGACAACTGGGTGGACCTGCCTAAGTGTTTTGGGGATGAGTAATTCCACTGTTACTGGGTTAATGATCCTTGTGATAGGGCAAAGGTCTGCAACCTTAAACACTCAAAGAGCCATTTGGACCTATTTCCCACAGAAAAGAAAACACCGGGAGCCAATAATTTAACAACTGGTGTGACCAGGTGGGCATGGCCAACTCGACATCACTCATCCCTATCCAGTCACATGATCCCCCCCCCAGCCACACCTGCCCAGCCGGTCATTAGGGCAGAGAACTGGTTGTTAAATCATTTGCCCCGCCCCACCCCTTCCCTCCCAGCCACCTCTTGCCACACCCAGCCTCAGGTGTGTTGTTCACCTTTCTCTCTACCTCTCTGTCTCTCTCTCTCTCTTTCTGTATGTTTATCTCTCTCTCTCTCTTCTATTTTATTTATTTATTTATTTGTTTGTTTATTTAGTCAAGCAATGATAAGATGACAGGTATAAGTATAAACATAGCGATGGATACATTAAATGGATACATATAAGAAGAATAAAAAAGAAACAATAGGACAGGGACGGTAGGCACTTTGGTGCGCTTATGCACGCCCCCCTTTCTCTTGTCTCTGTGATGCCACTGCTTTTGCCAAGGGCGAATGGGGCAGGGTCAGACTGTGACTCTGCATTGTAATGGGCTCCAGGAAGAGGAGGGGACCCCTTTCTCCCCCATTATGAAGTGTACTAAATTTCACTGTGCTGTGCAAAGTGATACAAGAGCAGTGGGCAGGCCATGGCTGAGCTCTGAGGCAATAGGCCTCATGGGAGAAAGAGGCTTTCACAATACGATGGGCACTGCAGACCTGGCATCACTTGCTGGAAGGGGGCCAGAAGCCATTTGAAGTTTGGACTGTCAAAAAAGGGAAGGGATAATAATCAATCGGCTTGATTATTTTGGTATCTCTGTCACATTTTTGATGCTTGGATCTAGGAGACAAGATACCTCCCTGGTCTACAAATTGATCACTCTGTTCTTCTGAGAAATGAGACACCAATTACCACCACATACCATTTTTTTGGAAGGGGGAACTTAGTGGACTCCCCTTCTTTGTGAAGTCTGAGCTACTTTTCTTCCTGTCACTAGAACAGTAGAAGACTTTTCTCCAAATGCCTGTATGTTTTCTTCTGCAGAGGGATATGAAATCAATTGTTCAACTCTAGCATCAGGGATAGTCATCTTGGTTTTTTTGTTTTATTTTATTTTTTATTTATTTATTTTGATTTGTCAATCAATGACAAGATAATAGGTATAAGTATATCCATAGTTATGAATACATGAAATGGGTACATATAAGAAAAATAAAAGAAACAATAGGACAGGAATGGTAGGCACGATGGTGCGCTTATGCACGCCCCCTACAGACCTCTTAGGAAAGGGGTGAGGTCAATAGTAGACAGTCTAAGGTTAAAGTTTTTGGGTTTGGGGGAAGAAACCACAGAGTCAGGTAGAGTATTGGATTGGATTGACCACTCTGTTGCTGAAGTCGTATTTCCTGCAATCAAGTTTGGTGCGGTTAACCTTGAGTTTGTATCTATTGTGTGCTCTTGTGTTGTTATGGTTGAAGCTGAAGTATTCATTGACAGGTAAGTCATTGCAATGTATGATTTTATGTACCATACTTAGATGAGACTGAGGACTGCATAATTCAAGGTTTTCTAGGTCTAGAATTTCAAGTCTGGTGGCATAAGGTATTCTACAACGAGTAGAGGAGTGGAGAACTTTCTCAACTGTGCTAATATAAGATATGTAATGTAGGTTCCAGACAGATGAGCTGTATTCGAGTATTGGTCTAGCAAATGTTTTGTATGCTCTAGTTAGTAATGTGACAAAGTAAAAGCTACGTAGGATTAGGTTAACAACTCTTAATGCCTTTTTGGCTATGTAGTTACAGGGGGCTCTAGCACTTAGATCATTAGAGATGAGGATTCCAAGGTTCTTTACAAAGCTTGGATTATCAGCAAGGTCTTGACTATTCAGCTTGTATTTTATTTTCTGATTTTTTTTTTGCCAATATGGAAGACAGAGCATTTATTTGTTGAGATTTGAAGTTGCCATTTGTTTGACCATTCTGATACATAGTCAAGATCTTTTTGAAGGGTAGCAATATTGTCTGTGATATTGAACAGCTTTACATCATCAGCAAAGAGAATGCAGTTGCTCTTAATATGATCTCAGAGGTCATTTATGTAGAGTAGGAAGAGAGTTGGTCCTAGAACACTGCCTTGGGGGATACCACTATTGACAGGTACAGAATTTGATAGGACACTCCCAATTTTGACCATTTGTTGTCTGTTTGACAGGAATTCTTCTATCCAGTTATGCAGTTGTCCAGAGATACCATAAGATTTTATTTTTAGAAGTTAATTTGTCATATATCACTGAATCAAAGGCTTTACAGAAGTCTATGTAGATTGCGTCTATTGTTTTGCTCTGATCGAGTTGTATAGTCCATATGTTTTTGCAATGTTAAGAGTTGCAGATTACAGGAGAGTCCCCTGACATGCTGCCACCATTTTTCCTGGTAGTTGTTTTTCCCTTGGTGTGTTCAGTTTGGATCAGAAATGGTATTTAGCAGGTTCTGACCAGTTCTGGAGAACCAGTAGCAGAAATTTTGAGTAGTTCGAAGAACCGGCAAATACCACCTCTGGCTGGAGATTTTACAGTATCCTTCCCTTGCCACGCCCACTAAGCCATGCCCACAGAACTGTTAGTAAAAAAAAATTGAATCCCACCACTGATTTGGATACAGACTTCTGCCCTTACCAGGAGTTTCTCATTTTCATGAAAGTGGCTAGTCATGCCTCAAGACCCTCTACTTTCTTCTCCCGCAATCCAGTCAGCAACCCACTTGGTATAGATATGAATCCTTCATGGGCAGGAATGTGAAATAGATGCACATTTTGGTACAGAGCATACAGCTGTGCCTTGCTGTGCAGATTCATGGAATTAATATTACAAAGCTATAGCCAAATTATTCTGGACATGACAGACCAAAATGTATTTGATGAAAACAACAGAAAAGAGTAGGACTTTGCATTACAATTGTATAACATGACGTGGCTTCTTTTCAGATTACACTGAATTCCCATTGAGATTTGTTAATGTACCAAGGATTCCAATTTTCAAGTTACGAGAATTCAGACAAATATTTATTTATTTATGGACTAGGCTTCTAGGGGAACTTATTGAAGAGTGTTAAGTTTGTACTGAATAGAGATAAAAACCAGAGCAACAGTTTCAAGGCCAGCAGTAGAAGGAAAATGGACATCTGAAAAGGAAAGGGATACGTATTCTACTTATGGGCTAGAAATAGAGAAAGAGATAATTGCTTTTCTTCAAACATATCTGCTTCTACCAATTGTCTTTTGCAACGGTCATAGCCCTAAAATACAATCAGAGCGGACACTCTATAGACTTATTTTTCTCTGGCACCAACAAAGACAATTCAGGTATCAGCAGAATTTATTATGTTTGCCAAAGTTAAATTTTACCAACTTTCTCTTTTGCTTGACAGCTCCGAGAGGAAAACGGGGATGGAAGACTTTCCATGGGATACTAAAGGGAATGATCTTGTATCTGCAGAAGGTATAGTTTGCTTGTTTGCGCATTCTATCTCTCTGTTTCTCACACATTTCCACATCCTAAGGAATGGAAGCTCCTTAATTGTATTCTCAATTATATTATGTGAAAATGATATACCCAACTTCCTTAAAATATTCAGACATTGCAGATTTATATAAATTCTGCTGTGGAAAAATACTGTATATAAAGAATTAAAATACAATTCGAATCATACTGTAAAGAAATCCACTGACATTCTTTGAAATAAGCATCTATTAAAATGTTGACATCACATTATGTCCAGCTATGGACATAATATATTTAGATTTTAGCAAAGCATTCAACAAAGTAGACAATAACCTATTTCTTGGTAAGCTAGAAAAAGTGGGATAGATAGCATCATCACCAGATTGATTCATAACTGACTCTGACAAACCATGCTCCACAAGTAGTCCTTAATGGGATTATGTCTAAATTGAGGGAAGTAAGCAGCGGGGTATCACAAGGTTCCGTCTTAGGCCCAGTACTCTTCAATATCTTCATAAACGACTTAGATAAGGGAATAGAAGGGGAACTTACCAAAATTGCAGATGATACTAAGGTGGCAGAAATAGTTAACACCCAGATGATGGCCTCAAGATCCAAATAGATCTTGATAAACTTAAAAACTTGGCCCTAACCAACAAAATGAAATTCAGTGTAGAGAAAAGTAAAGTCTTGCACTTAGGCAAGAAAAACCAAAAGTACACATACAGACTGGGTGAAACCAGGCTTAATAGCAGTAGCTATGAGAAGCATCTTATAGTCTTAGTGGACAACCAGTTAAATATGAGCCAGCAATGTGCGGTGACAGCCAAAAAACCCAAAGCAATTCTAAGTTGCATTAATAGAGGGATACAATCAAGATCAAGTGAGGTACTAATATCATTCTATAAAGCCTTAGGAAGACCACACCTAGAATACTGCATCCACAGTTTTGGTCACAATGTTAAAAAGGATGTAGAGACCCTAGAAAAAGTGCATTTTTGTCTGGTCAAGAGAAAAAAAAAAGTTACAATATTTCCAAGCCTCTAGTTGGCAGTGTTACAAAGTTTCTTCTGCTTTCACTTTCCCCCTCCTTTTCCAAACAAGATATAATAAAAATTAATTAAAAAGGGAAAAAGATATTTAAAAAGATGACTAGAAGGGAGTCTCTAGCCTAAAACATTATAAAGTCAAAAAGGAGAGAAAAAATAGGTAGAAAAAAACCCCAGTCCATTTAAAATATAAAATTATATAGAAAAAGTCCAGCAAAGAGAAAAAAAAATTATTACTTTGACTTCCTGTTTAAAGATCGCCACTCAATCACTTCTGTCTAAGATTTTACAGATTTTTTTTCTTTTCCTTAGGGTGTCCTTTCAAATATTAAAGTAAAGAAAAAATTATCACCAAACTGGCACACTTTCTCTTTCCGTTCTCTTCCGTTTCAGAGCTGTCCCAACTTCAGCAGCTTTAATGGCTGCCTCTTTGCCGCTGGCAAAAAGAGCTTCTCCTGGATCTACCAGGGACTTTGCAATATCCCTGGGATTGACAGGATGCGCTCTTTACATTCACCATCTCTTCGGGACGGTTTAGATCCGTTTGGACCATCCAGGAGCAAAGATATCGGCAGCGATCTCAGACCTCCAAGATCGCATGCCGTATCGTCACGATGCCAGCTCTGCCCTCTTCCATTAATTTTCTTTTTAAATATAATCAATTCCAGGCGAGTTCAGCATTTTATCTAATGCCAAATTAATGCCAGGTTCTGTATATTATTCCCAATTCTGTCCTTAATTTTGCTATAACTCTTTTGTAGTCCAGGTTTTTATTTACCTTATATTGTCCTCTTGTTTTCTATTCACTGCTATTGTACTCTCAAGCGAGGAATCTTTCTTTCTGCTTTTTGCGGTTATTAAAATAAAAGGTTCAGCTTCTCTTGTCTGGATACACGCCGCTCACCACTTCACCTCTCCAGCACACTCTTAGGTCCCGGTAGCTTCCCATCTTCAGGGCAGCCATTAAAACTGCCGCTTGTCCCTGTCTTCCAGGGGAGTATACCAAGCCAGGGAGGGGCAATGTGGCTCCCCTCAACCCAGCTGGCAGTCTTCCCCTCTTCCCCCACCCCTCTGAAGTGGGTCTGATGGTTCAGTCCCATAGGGACTCCTCCAACAGGTAAGCATGGATCGAAGCAGCGCACGATCACGGTCTCCGTCTGTCCTCGACGGAAGTGCCACCAGAAGTCCCAAAGCAGTTTCATTTTCAATAGACAAACTCAGAGCTTAACATAGCTTCAGAGCTGCAGAGCTTAATATAGAGCCATACCTAGCTTCTAGTTTCAGTTTCCAAAACAGTCCTCATTGGTTGAGTTAGTTGCTGTGCCTATTCATTGGCTGACCTTGTTACCATGCTCTATTCCAGTTCATGAATATACTGACAATTAGATATTTTGTCTAGGCTCAATTTCGCATCAGAGTTTTTAGAAGAACTCTTTGTTGGATGCCATCAGAACTGGTGATGTTTTATTTATTGTCCTTCAAGACTGTAACAGAGTGCCTGGTTCAAGTCTGCCCTCAACCACAAAAGCTCACTTCATAATTTTAGATTAGTCATTCTCCTAGCCCAATCTATTTCACAAGTTTGTTGTTGGGGAGAATGAGAAGAAGGAAATCTATACATATTGCTTTGAGCTCCTAAGGATAAGGCAGGCTATACATAAATATAGTATATTTAACTGTATGCTCTGTTTGGAGACCCAGTTTGTTACAGTAGTTAAGACAGGCAGTAGTTAACCAGGAGTCTCTGAGTTGTAGACTCATTTAAGTCACAAAGCCAGCTGGGACATGACTCTCAGTCCTAAGAACTGAGCAAGCCTCAGGCAAGCCATTTCCAAAAATTTGCCAAGAAAACTGGAGGGATTTATGCAGGCAGTCACCAACAGTAGTCGTCTGAAAGTCGCAAACACATATAGAAATTGTCATTTTACCATTTTTTCTACCAGAGTTTATGCTCTTTCATTGTACTGATTAGGACAGTTTTTTGGACCCAAAGGAATCATCTTCCACAATTGCAAAATAACATTAAAAAAATCTTACCTATTTTGGAGGCTTCCGGTTTGAAGGGCTTCAGCGACAGACAGAAATCCGCGATCGTGCACGGTTTCTGTCTGGGCTTGCCGCTGGAGCGCCCCGAGCTGTCTGGTTTCGGGGCTAAGCCACCCCATAGAGGTGGTGAAGAGGGGGGAGACCGCCAGCAGGGTCAAGGAGAGTCGCATTTCTCCTCCTCAGCTGGACATTACATCCTTTCCCGAAGGCGGTTGCAGTGGTGGTCAGAAATGGCCACCACAAAGAACTCAACCGGAAAAGAATGTGCAGGAGGAAGATAAGAAGTGAAAGTTTTGGCTGACCAGGTTAAATTGTAAAAGCAACAACTAAGTTACCCTGGAATTTAAACTTACAAAAAATACAAAAAAAATAAATAAATCTTACCTATTTTCAGTTTGCAGACTGACATACCTTAGTTTTTTCCCTCTCTCAGATCTCTTATCAATTTTTTTTCTTTCAATTTGCAGGGTGATTTTATACAAAATACCTGCTGTAAAAAATGAGTGATTAAGCATTACTGTCTGACCTAGCAAGCAGCTATGCAGAGCAACAACTGGAGACATTTTGCAAATTAAACAACTGTCACTCATACACCATTTCAGCTGTCTTTAAAGGCATGAGAAAGTCTTGGAGCTAATTGTAGGATTATGCTACAATTTAGGTAGTTTTTGCTTACTGTCAAGGCTGTCTCCATCCAATTCCTGGGAAAGAAAAACCCCTGACTCCATAGATTTAGAGAAAATGACTTTTACTAGGGGAGAACTGAATGCAACAGGTTCCAGGCAAGATCTGAGGCAAAAGCACATGAAACAGCAAATTGAAACAAAACATAAGAGTCCAACCCTCTGGTAGCTAGGCAATCAGAGAATAAGCACCGACCAGGCCAGGAAATGTTGTGAGAAAAGCTTTGATTCAAGGGTTTCATCTCTGGCTGCTGCGCATCAAAGCTAGAAGAAATTACCTGTTGGGCTCAGGGAGCTTGCCCGCATCTAGGTGCGTGCTCAGAGCCTGATACTTCACTGAAATGGAAGCAACTGGGATGGGATGCCTGACACTCTGTCTGCGCGGTAGTGGTTAGAGCCAAAGCCCGCAATGCTCCTGGTGCACCTGCAATGCTCCTGGTTCGCCCGAAGCCTGCAATGCTCCTGGGCTGCCTGCAATGCTTTTGGGGCACCGAATGCTGTTGCCCGTTGTGCATGCTGACTTCCTGGATGATGTCACTCTCCAACAATCCACGATGCGGAACTATACTTCGGGCCTGCTTTGAACAGCTGTTTTGCAGAGCAGTGAAGAGCTAGAGACATCGTAGAGGAATGGGAAGATGAGGGTGGCGAGATACGCAAGTGGGATGGACACAGGGCAAAGATACCAGAGATACACATGGGGATGTCATGGGACGGGTGAGGAGCTGACAGGCTGGACTGAGATACACAACGGCATGGCAAAAGGAAGAATACCAAACCAAGGCTAGGTATTACTAATTAGGGGAGGAGGCGCGGGGGATATGAGCTTAATCGGTGGATATCAGGCTAGCTGGGAGGGGTTGAGAAGACGACATAAAAAGTGCTGAGAGGCAGTTGCTCTCAGTGCCAACTTTGTTCAGGATCTCCATTTTTGCCTATCGGGATTGAAAGTGCTGCAAGAAACCTAAAAATTCCCCGACAAGCTTGTGATTTAACAGAGTTTGTCTGCAAGACTTATCCAGTACCCATCTGAGGCTGAAATTACCTTGGAGATGTTAAGCAAAGTCCAGATTCTAGTTGCAAAGCTGCAAAGAAAAATTCTCCACCAACCCCTCTCCCATTTCCATGGCAGCAAACAGCAGGCTGGCTGACATTTACTGATCACAATTGGGAGGCAATTTTGTTGCTAAGCAGTGTTGTAATAAAATGGAACTGATATATCAATTCAGACTGTCGTTGAGCAAATCACTGTGGACTGTGAACTGCAATGTCAACATGACTTCCTGCCATTTTCCCCATTGACTTTCTTGCAAATGACAATTATGTCATTGCAAGATACTATGACTATTGTAAATGTGCACTAGTTGCCAAGTGTCCCAATCATGAATTTGTGATCGCAGGACATTGCAATGTCCACAACTTCAAACATTAATCTCTTTCATTAGTGCCATTGTAACTTCAAATGGTTGCTGATAAGTGGTCAGTAAGCGAGGACAACTACCCAAGTCAGTGCCATGGCTGGGAAGATAAAGATAAACAATAGAGTGAGGTGTACTAAGTGCTTGACCTTACAATTCTGCAAAGTGTTCAGAATTTGCAAAGAAGTGTATCTTATTTTAAAAGATAAACAAATTGGGAACAAAAGCACATACACTTTTGAAATGACAGGATATATCATCATCATCATTTTAACTATTGATTACCCACTATTGCTTACCCACTATAGCCTCTTCTGCACATCTTGTTTTCCTTTTGAAAAGGATATGTTACATTTTGCCAATGAATGGACTTGCTGGAGTTTGTAGAAAATAACAAAAAGTAATAACAGGACCAATAAGGAAAGTAATATAACAGACATTATCCTCTACCTGTATTTCAGGAAGAATATAAACCTGGTCAATCTCTGGCTGAGGAAGATCTGAAAAATGCTATCAGCATCCATCATTCACTGGCTACCCAAGCATCAGATTACAGCAAAAGACCCAACGTTTTCTACCTCAGGACAGCTGACTGGAGAGTCTTCCTCTTCCAAGCCCAGTAAGCAGGAGGGCACAGAATGTAAATTGATGGGGGAGGGGATTGATTTACCAGCAGATCAATTTTATTTATTAGGAAAGTTCTAGAAGAAAAATTAGAAATTTTACTTATTACATTATTAGAAGGATCTATTGGTTATGTCAGATCCATGTATCTGCCATTCTTCAATGGAAGAAGAAGGGGTGGGGGGAAGTTGGTACAAGTAATCCTTTTTTGATGTTACTTGAATATCTTAAGTGTTGTATTGAATCTGTATAACTTGCACATGATATACAACTGGGGGACTGGAGCCAGATTTCTGGAAACTTGTCACCTCTTGGAGAGATAGCAAGAGAAGGGACCATAACAATTCCAGCTCTGAAAGAAACATCCTGGGAAACTTTTTTAAGATACATTCCTAGAAAAAGCGGGGAGGTGGGGAATTAACATGCTGTCTCTTTGTTTGACTAAATCCACATCAGAATAAGGGGAGGGGTTCTAATTCCCTTTATCTATTACTGTATGCCTGGAAGCATCGTAGATTCTGTTTTAGCTAGTACCTGGATCACTTCCTTCCCATAAAGAATTCCTTTTGAAGTGCCTAGCTTTCAGAAGTTCATTCTTATCGGTTGAAGGGAAAAAGTCCGGTGCTTACAGCTTACTTAGGCAAATTATAGATGGCATCTTCTCCAGTACAATTGGCAAAAATGTTGAGTAATATCTCACAGAGATGTTGGAAATGTAATCAAGTACCAGGCACGTATTACCACATGTGGTGGTTATGCAAAAAAGCAAAGGAATTTTACAATGGATACAGAAAAATTTGATGTTATATATGTAAATATAAATGAGTATAGTGGACAGAACAATTGTATAAAATTAGTAATGTATGATGTTTTATGATGTAAGTATAAATTAATATACTGGATAGAATAATTGTATAAAATTGGTAACGCATGATGAATATACAGTATATGTTATTTGTTTTATACCTTAATGTGTATGGTAGAGATAATGCCAGGATGATCGCACTGTGTCCAATATTTTAATATGTAATCAATAAAATTATAAAAAAAGAAAGAAAGAGAAAGAAAGAAACATAGATCTAAGCTTTGTCTATCACTAAATGCAGCCTTCCTTGTTATTTCCTTCCCTTTCTGATTGTTCCAAACAAAGAAAAAGATTTTAAAGAAGAAGCACTGCATCTCTTGCGTATTCCTTAAAATTTCAGGTTTAAAAACAAAAACTATATAAAGCTTCACATTCGGACTAAGGGCCATTTGGAATGTTACCATTTCCCCTAGATCACTGCAACAATAGCCAAAAAAACCTGTATGGTAGCACCCTATTAGCATAAAATATATTATTATTTCTTACATATATTGGGATATCATGTGGACTTGGGCTTTGGTTCTTCCCCTTTGCTTAGTATCATTTTAAACATCTCTAAATTTTATTTTTAAACATACAGTCTTCAAGAATCACAAAATGCATGGTGAGAGGTTGGGATTGTTTGACGGGTTTTTACAAAGAAATGGGGATTTCTTTTTGTTTATAGTTCATGAGAACAAGTTATTTTTTTGAAGGAAACAATTTTGGCAAGCTGTTTTGGCCCATGATATGATTTAAAGAATAATATCTCTTTAACATCTTACTCCAGGAACACAGAACAAATGCATTCCTGGATCACACGGATTAATGTGGTAGCAGCCATGTTCTCTGCACCACCATTTCCAGCTGCCATTGGATCCCAAAAAAAATTCATTCGCCCATTACTGCCCAGTTCCTCTACAAGACTATCACAGGTAAGCGGGCCATCTTTATTCTTCATTCTTTAGTGATTCTATATTATTCCGAAAGAACTGGAGAAAAATTGAATGGGGTTAAGATAATACGTTCTGATGCAAAAAATGGGCTCAGAAGTCATGAAACTTCCGGAGTTGGATAAACTGCCTTGAAATGGACAAGCAGCAGTTGTGTGCCTGTGTATCTGTGCAAAAATTTAGATTCAAAGAGCTGATAAAATTGGTAACATTGCCACAGAGGGAAAAGAGGAAAGTGAAGACATGTTGTCAATGCCAGTTGGGGCAGATTTGCTATTACTGTGTTTCCCTGAAAATAAGACCCGGACTTATTTTCTTTTGGGCTCAAAAATAAGCACTAGGGCTTATTTTGGGGGGGGGGATTTATTTACGTACAGGAGGCAGCGAGCATGATGGTCAACAGGAGTGGGAGTGCTGCTATCGCCAGCCCCACTTTCTCCATCCTACCATCTGCTTGCCTGCAACCACAATGTGCTGAGCTCTCAGGGCCCCCCGGCCTCTGCCCGCCTTGCTTGCTAGCCCTGCTGCTGCTAGGATGCTGGAGCTTGGGTCTTGGAGCAGAAGGCCTTGTGGCACATCGGGATCATCTGCTCCTTCCCCGTCATGCCTGGACCTGTTACACCTGCTGTTGCTAGCCTCACAGGGGCTCTTTGCCATTCAGCCACGCTGCTGTCAGCCACCCTGTAGCTTCGGCGGGCAGGAGCTCTGTGGAAGCCCTGCAATGGGGACAGAGGAGAGAGCGGGAGATCGCCCCTTCCTCCTTTACACCGGCAAACCCTGTCTTCCCTGGTTGCTGAGCTTCAGGCCTGCACCCTGGCGCTGGAAAGGTGAGCAAGATGCATAACTCAATGCTACCGGTATGCCATGCAGTGCCAGCCATGCAAAGCAACCCTCCTCAATCCTCCTGGCTCCAGGGACAATCCTGCGTGGGGGGTCACACAGGATCCCTGGGACGGAGGCCTCCCGGTGCAACGCTCTGTAGCAGATCCAGAGCAAACCTCTGCCTTCCCTGTGCAGGATTGCAAGGCTGGAGGCCTCCACTGACCAACACCCTCCCATACCTGCTGTGGCTGGCCTCATGTCCTCTTGGATGGGCTGCTTCTGCCGGCTTGCCAGGGTCTCTTCACCAGCTGTCATTGGTGGAGTCATGCCCCTTGCCTGCCATTGCCTTGGGGCTGCCTCTCCCCTACCCTGCAGTGGGCAGGAACTCCATGGCAGCCCTGCAGCAGGACAGACAGAGGCCTCAGAGGTCCACGCCAGGCAGAAGCAACCCAGCCAAGAGCAATGCTTAAAAATCAGGCTAGGGCTTATTTTCAGGGAACACACGGTAGGAAGTCCTACAAGAAAGATCAATCAGCTTTTTTCCCATTCTTCCATAGGAAGAACAACTGAAGAGTCATGAAATGAAATTTAAAGCCATGGCAGCAGAACTCTTGGAGCATCGTTCCTCCCTTCCTGAGAAGAAGGTGAAAGGCAAGGAGTATGAGGAACTGAAACAGAAAGAGGAATATCTGATATTTGAAGTAAGTAGAAAGTGATAAAGAGCAAGATCCAAACAAAATTTGCAAAACAGTGTCGGAGATGGTAGCAGAAGAATCTCAAAGAGAGGTAGGGAAAATGTTTTCATTTAGTAGCCATTCCATCAGGACTGATCTAAGGCCACCAACAGGAATTTTCTGAAGCCAAAGATATTTGGAGAAAGCAGTTGGTGAATGCTGAAGTGTGGCGTTCAAGTCCTGGAAGGTATAGTAGTTTAAAAGGACAGCGTTGTCTGCAATTCTCATTACTTGTTGCTTTTAAGCACATGCTTCCTACAATCTTCCAGGGTTTGAACACCACATTTTCAGCTGCTTTCAGAGCCGCTCAATTTCTCATCCCACTCCCGCCAGCGGTGTTCTTTCTCTCTGTCTCTCTCTCTCTCTCCCCCCACCCTCACACACAGAAGTTTGATCAAATAGTTTTCTTGCTTATGGTGGCGGCACCAGCCATACTCTCCAGGGTGGCCTAGAGCTGATCCGAGGCATACAGGCCGATACCCTTTGGGCACCTGCCTCCCTCTACCTCCTGCTGCTTCGCCCTCCACACAGTCACCACATCCTATGCGCACGTCGGGGGCGTGGCACGCCCAGCCAGGCCTTGTGATGAAAAAAATACAACCTCCCCCAAAACAAGCCCAAGTGCTCATTTTGGGGCCCACAAGAAAATAAGACTGGCTCTTATTTTGAGGAAAACATAGTGACTTCTTTTTGTCAATTTAATGGGAATAAAGTAAGATTTTAGGATTTAAAGCAACACATTTATGAGTGAATCTGTATCTTCCAGATATTTTGGTTTTCAGTTCCCATAATCTAAAATCAGCATGGTCAGTTGTGAGACATTGGGGTAGTTGTAGTCCAAAACATTCACAAGTCACCATGTTACCTCCAATGCCCATGTTACGCCTAGAACATAAACATAATGTCACCTTATTCAAATTTGTGTTACTCCTTGCCTTTTCTTTAGTCCATAGCTGTTATTAAAAAAATCCGCCTGTTACTTCTTTCTTTTGTGCAGAAATTACGCTATGGCATTTATGCTACACTAATGCGCACCAAGTTGAAGACTGGCTCTGAGGATCTGGCAGCTTTGGAAGCCACCCTGTTTGTTACAGTGGGTAACTCAGAAGACAGCTTTAAGGAGTCCCAGTCCAGTCTTACCCTGAACCAGGAGACAGCTGGCACAGGTTCCAAGATAAAATGCAACCATCAGTAAGCTACTAGTAAACAACAAAGATGATCACTCTTGGCAAAGAAAATGGCATTCCTATCCTAGAAATTTGCAAATTGTCAGGAGGGAAGAGAAGACATTATCAATGGGCCCAATTCTGTATCAACTTCACCAGTGGAAAGTACATAACTACAGTCCTACGTTATACGGCCTTCCCAGTATAATCAGACTATAGCTTTTGGGTGGAAGTACTAAACTCCATGGTTAAATAATCACAGCTTCACTGTACCAACTACTTTTTCTATCTCTTGCAAAACTAAGAATAGGAAAGTGGAAGAAAGGAGACTGCTTCCCTTCCTTTTCTTACAATTTTTGTGATATATTTTACAGTTTTTAGTACCTGATAATGCTGAATCACGCTGGAGTAGAAAAGGTACTTTTGGCATGCATAAGATAGATGTTTACATTCAGTAATACTTTTACATGAGAGTGTTGGGGGCCTGCAGGAGCAACTTTTCCATGGAAGTCCAATTGTTTCACCACCAGCAGCTCTCTTGGAGTGTGCTCAGTTTTTTTTTTTTCTCATCAGCACAAGTTGGATCGTAGTTATTCACCTCTTACAAAACCGGGCAGAGGTTGCTTCAAAGGAACTATCACTAACAGGTAAAATTAGGGATAGTGGGTATTTCCCCACTCTCCTATTACACCGCAGAATACCTTAGTGGGCCCTCAGAATACCTTAGTGGGCTGGTCTTAGGCCTAATTAGATTCTGCAAGTAATTTATGAATTTGAGTGACCAGAACAAAATCAATTATGTAGTAGAAAAACTGGTCGTTCTATTGCCTGAGCCTGTTGGGGGCACATTCAGAGAGAGATTGGGGGTGGATTCTAGATGGCCAAGAACATTCCCAACTCTCAGACAATTGGTTGCCTAGGTAGTATAGATAACTTATAATTTATAATCTCAAAAGGCTTTAAGACGTGACTCAAAGCTTGGTGACAATGTTATGTATGCAGTGAAAGATAAAAGGACCAAGCTGAACATTGGGGCAGAACTGTAAACAATATGAAATTCAGGAGATGTGGAATAACAGGCTACTATATGGTGCAATATGGCAGGGTAATACCCGAGAGACGAAAACCACTTCCATAGATCCAGTACCGGATCTCTAAATACGTCGGATTTCTTCTGTTCTATGCAGACTGTAAAAAAAAAAATTGTACAGTTTCTTCAGTTATTGAAGTTAACCAGCTCAAACATCTACAGTTCTCCTTCAAACTCTTTCTGTATTACAGAAACAGGATAAAGAATGTGTTAATGTGAATGCCACATCAGAACCCAAAGCTTCAGTTGCCTGATTCAAACACAGATAACCGACCACCTCAATATAACTGAGTGGAAAGCACCATATTTTTCTCAATCTTTCAGATGTTGGTGAGAAGCCTATCTTAGATGCTGGATTATGCAGATGCACACAAGCATTTTTTTCTGAAGTGGCCATTAAGAAAAACCACCCTAATAATCCCATAAAATGTGGCGGTTCCTAGAAAGAGAACTCGTATTCCTTGTTAAGGTACCAGCAATGTAACCCAGGAATTAGATGTTTTACACCAAATAAAAAGGTCTGATTGTTTACTTGTGTGATCAGTTCTGCATTCACACACGTAGCTTTGTCATTTGGAGCCTTGTAATGCCAAGGATTTAATGGTGGTGTTGAGGGCAGCCATTATCTCCTACACGTATTCCTGTACATGATTCTTGCTTCTATCAAATTATCCTAAAATTAAAAGTATGAAGGAAAGGAGGGCAATTTGTGTGAATCCTCCGGTAACCATCCCCAGATACAGATGGCAATCATAGTCTATGCATACCCTATATAAAAGATAGAACTTGTGTAAAGCTGTTTCTCAAATACTACACCTTCTGGCTCAAAGTTCATGTGGCAGTAATTATTAGAGATGACTGACTGGGATAAGGCTTCACCTGTTTAAAGGAGGAAACAGTATCCTGTAAGAAAAGACAGTTCTCAAGTAATTTGCTCTAACTATAGGTGTGATTTCCTTCTAGTTCCAATCTGAACCATTATAAAATTTGGGGGTAGTATGAGGGAGGCCTTTATGGGAATCTATAGTAGAATGCTTAAGAGTGGTACAGGAAAGTTATTTGATCGATATAAGTTGTGGGTGCTCCATTGCTGGAGGTTTTCAAGAAAATATTAGGGTTGGACTAGTAGACTTTCAAAGTCATTTCAAACCCTATGATTCTATAAAACGTTAACACTCTTCAGGCATCAAGCAAGTGAATGAGGTATTCTAAGAAAATCAAAGTTGGAAAGCAAACGTAACAAGATTCTGAAATGGGTGAATTCACCACAGTACTCATTGTAATCTAACAACTTGTGGAACATTAGGTGGAGAGGAGTCCAAAGGCCTCTATGTGGCAAGCTAAGATTGTTACCCTGAGTCTTACATCAAGTGAGCAGCTCATGTCTGACAATTTGCAGTGTGTATATAGTTTATTTTTAACTATGAACAAAATGGAAAGAAAATTAATAGAAGTCCAAATGAAAACTTGGTGTGACCACTGTTTGCCTTCAAAATAGTATCAATTGTTCTACAAGTGCACTTGCACACAGTGTTGAAGAACCTTGAGGTTCCTTCAAGGTTGTTCCAGACATCTTGGAGAACTAACCATAAATCTGTCTCAAATTCTTCTGTCTCTTCATGTAATTTCAAACAGACTCAATGATGTTGAGATCAGGGCTGTATCCAGGGCCAAAACATTACTCCCAGGACTTCTTGTTCTTTTTTACACTGAAGATAGTTCTTAATGACATTGGCTATATGTTTGGGGCAGTTGTTCTGATGCAGAATAAATTGGGGGCCAATCACATGACTCCATGATGGATATGTGCCTGCCTGTATTTCTCAGCATTCATCCTGACTCAATCTCCAACTCCAGTTGTAGAAATGCAGCCCTAAACTTTGCAAGGAAACCTCCACCATGCTTCACCGTTGCCTGGAAACATGTGATAAAAATCAAAATGACAGAAGACCAGGAACAATAGATAAAGAGCTTGTTTATTTAGTGTTTGAAAAAGCCAGGACCCCATCTCCCTTTTCATAAGGAGATAGGAGACGTTTTTCACAAGCATGCTGGAGATTTTTATACACTTTTAGAATCCTGAGCCTGTTACCATCACCCTATGCTGTTTGCTAATTACTGGGTCATTTTCCACTAACCATCATTCCCTTACTCGTCTCATTTCCAGTAAACTCCATCCCTTCTGGCCTAGCCCCTATCTTGTTTGGCATAACATCCAGTCTCGGAAGCGTGTACTAACAGCAGCATTTATTAACTTTAGCATAACATAGCACAGCATGCCCTGAAAAAAAAAATGACCTGCTACATTGTACAAAACAACCTCGTTTTCGTGGTTAATACAAAGAATTACATAATTTTTACTTAATATTCCAGTAACTTGTCTTAGGTCATTTGTAGGGTAAATATGGCGTTACTTATGGCTTTATATTTTCACAGATATAATCATTCATATGTAATACTACATATCACAACTCCCCCTTTTCTATTTCACCACTTTATACCTGTGAATTATCACATTTCCCTTAACATAAGTCACACTTCCTGTTGGTTTAACTTCCATCCCTTTCATCCAGGGGTGGGTTTCTACTGGTTCTGTCCACCTCTGTAGAACCAGTAGCTCTGAAGAACAGCAGACACAGAACCAGTTCTTGCACAACTGCCCACCCGGGCTCTTACCTGATCTTTATTTTCTGATTTTTCAACAAGCTGCCAAACAAGGTACAGCTGCAGTTAAAAACGCAGGAAAAGAGGGCTGTTTCAAAGGCTGCTTCTCTGCACGCAGCGTGCTGATGACGATTTACAGGTGCGCGGCTCGCAGCGTGCAGGGAAGCACATCATAAATCACCGAACCTCGTAAATCCCAAACCGGTAGTTAATCCTGTCGTATCCCATCCCTGCTTCCATCTCCTTTTTCCTTGGTTTGGTTTACAACAATATTTAACATACAGGCATACGTTGAATACAGATACAAGAAATGAGGCCGATGATAATAATAATAATGATAGAAATGAATAAATCTTTCAACCAGGTAAAATTTGGCAACCAAGAATTTAATCCATACCATATCCTCTTAAATGTATTGGTATCTTCAACATGTGTTAAATGTGTAAAGCTTTTATTTTTGATTCTATAAATTGTAATTTATCTGTAATATTGAAACAACAAAGTCTGTCAAATTCTTCATACGCAATAATATATAATCAATTGCAATTCGATTCTGGAGTACAGATTTCCAAATTTCACCCATTTCATCAGCCATAGTAGCTATAGCAGACGATGTTTCATTAATACTTCATCCTAGGGCACATGGCAAATGTCCCAATTGAATGTTATCATAATATGTAGCTCCCCAGGAAAATATACCTTCTTCTACTTTAGACAATATTACCAATTCATCATTACAATCTGCAGAATATGCATCACTAAAGGCATATCTCTTTCCTCTATAGATCTTTTCTTGCGAATTAAGGTGTTCAGATTTCCCCCACTTAGTTATAGGCCAATGCACTGTTGGATATGTGTATATAATAACGTGGGGTTCTTTAGGTTTATATTCTTCCTCATGTTCCTGTACATGTTCATGTAAATGTGTTCCTTCTGGGTCTGTTGTGTCATCTAATATTGGCTCTTCAAAAAAATCTATCATGATGAAGACTAGACTTCATCACTTCATAATATAATTCTGTTTGCTGATTAATATTCTTAGTGTGTGCTACTGTCATAACCATAGTTAAATGTCCTATTTTACAAGGTCCTCCTACTACATTAGCAGGTATAAATGCATAAGCATATAATCCACAAAACATAAACCATTCTCTAGGTAGAAATAACACTTGTCCTATTGCTTCTACTTCTTCTGTTTCTGTACAGGGAAAAAGATCCCCAGTAGGCAAAAAATTATATATAACCTTTTCCTGTTTCTTCTCTGGGTGTTTATATTTCACACAATCATAAGCTGGTAAAATTGGTTTTACTTCAATTACCAACTTCTTTTGATTAGTCCACTTGTTTGGTTTCATCGGAGCTCCAAATAAAGTAATCACTTTATTTGACAAATTATACAAAGTATAAGAATTAGGTTGTATGGTGATTTTTGCCTTCACAAATAAAAACTTTCCTGGCACTGGAACAAGTGGACATAATATCAGAAACCGTAGTTTTTCCCTTTACACAAAAAGAGGAACTATTCAAGAGGAACTATTAGCTCCAGAAAAACATTCTTATTTCTCTCCATCGGTCCTCTTATATGTCTAGCACTTCTAATTGGAGCTTTAGGGTATCCAATTGTACATTATCTACCCTTCCATGTAAATGGAAGTTTTGCAAGGGCTATATTTCCACCCAAAGGCATAAGCTTCATCTGAGTACTTCTCAATTCAATATATGGCAGAAATAGCCCTTCCAAAGCTCTAAATCTCATATAGGAAGATGAATAATTACCATATAGTTCAACACATTGATTATACAGCTGATCCATTTTCTTGGACAAATCTTCATGACTGCTGGCTATATCATATGTACAGTTACTTTGGATATCTACCCAAATACAGATTCTAGCCTCAGCTGTGGGTTCAGTTAGTTTCAGTGGTGTTTGGACTTGATAATATTCACTGTCTGGTTCTGTATGGAAACATAGCTGCTGCCATGTCATAGGATAACCAGGCAATACATCAAAAGCCTCCATCCTTACCCTACACAAGGCAATAACCACTATCAATATCAACTTCATGTTGTGGTGTTCTAAACGGACTAGGCCCCCTCCCACCTTATGTCTGTAATATATATGTCAAAACTTACAACCAGTTGTCGGGGACTTAAAGCCACTTCTTTTTCCTTCTAGTACCACAGCAATTGTCCACACCAGTCTATTGTGTTATGTCTCAATATAATCAACAGTACAATTAAAAAATATACTACACCCAACCAAATGAGTAACTCAATCTCCCAAGGTTCCACAAATCTCCCAATGTTCCATAAACTGAGTGTACAAGCTATATATATCTATATGCAAACTAAATATCTATGTTCTTAAATGTCTATTTTGATGAATCTTACTTTACTTTTCATCCGGAGGGTGGGTCCACTGGTCCTTTAACCCTGGAGTAATGTGTCCAACCTTTCTCCCTTGTCCTCACAACTGACTCAGTAGACAACAGCACCTGGTATGGCCCCTCCCAGATAGGTTGCAATTTCTCCACCGCTCTCCACTGCTTTTTCAGGACCCAGTCACCACTTTTAAAGTCATGTACTTGAAAACCAAGAGGTGGTGTTTGTAACAAAAGTCCTTTATACCTTAAAGAGAAAAACACTGGGACAGTCCTTGTATATATTTTCTCAGAAAAACATCTTTAAGCTTATTCTAGGCATTCCCACACTCCCAGTATAAGGTAGTCCAAACATTTCGTATGGTGAAATACCCACATCTTTCCTGGGACAAGTTCTAATCCGCAAAAGAGCTAAAGGCAAACATTTCATCCAGGGAAACTGCAGTTCTAATATTAGTTTCTGTATTGAGTTTTTTAATGTTTGGTTCATCCGATCTACTTTGCCATTCGAAGCAGCGTATCTAGGAATGTGGTATTGTCAACCAATCTCCAATTGTCCCATTACCTTCTTCACTACTTGGGAAGGGAAATGTGTACCTCTATCACTATCAATAGATTCAACCAACCCATATCTGGGTATTATCTGTTCCAATATTATCTTTAGAGTCAACTGAGCATCTTGCACATGGGAATATTTTAACCCATCCAGTTAAATGATCAACTATTACCAGCAAATATTTCAAAATTCCCACTGCCGGCATTTCAGTGTAATCAACTTGTATTCTCTGGAATGGCCAAATAGCAAAATCCCGTCCCCGTGCTATTTGATTATGCATAATCTTTTTATTTATTCTTACACAACGTATACATTTTCTCCCTACTTGCATAGCTATCTTATACATGCCTCTACAAATATATTTTTTTTTAATACAATCTATTAATGCTTGTGTCCCCCAATGTGTTCTCTCACGCACTCTATTATATTCCGCATAAGTTTGTTTACTATTTGTAATCCATCTTTTGTTATCGATTTCCCATTTATCTGTTCTACACCTTCTTCTTTCATTTGTTTTTTCTTCATCTGTGAAAAGGTTTTACATCACATTCTAGAAGAGGAATTAAGGCCATTAACTGTGTCTCCTCACCCATCCATGCAGCTTCCTTTGCAGTCTCATCTGCTAATCTATTACCCACAACCTGTTTTGAATTTCCCTTTTGATGTGCTTCTATATGAATTATAGCCAGCCATTCCAGACCTTCAGCTGCTTTTAGCACTGCTTTTATGAGATCTACTTGTTTTATTTATTTTCCTTTACTGTAAGTCCCCTCTGGATCCAGATCTTTCAAAAGGTATGTAAAATCCTATGAGTCTCTCTCTCTCTCTCTCTCTCTCTCTATATATATATATATATATATATATACACATACATACATACATACATACATATGGATCTTTTGTTGTTCGGGTTTTCTCCCGCGTAAGATTCGAAGTATCTAGGCAACGTTTCGATGAAGTCTCATTCATCATCTTCAGGCTTCTGTCTTCGGCTCTGTGCTTCTCAGAGTGATGTGAGATTGCAGCTGCTTCTTCCTTTTAACTGCTAGTGGGGGTGTGACTTGATTGGGTGGGGGGTTGGCTGTGTTCTGATTGGGTGGGGATGTGTCTCATTGGTAGGGGGTTTGTCTGTGTTCTGATTGGTTGTGGGGTTGGCCGTGTTCTGATTGGCTGGAGGCATGTTCTGTTCAGGTAGGGGCTTGGTTGTGCTCAGGTTAGTCTTAGTTGCTGGGGGATTTGAGTTGGTGAGCTGTGATCTTGCTGTTTGGCTTCGAGTTCGTGGTCATGCTGCATCTTCATAGTGGGTGTCGGTTTGCTTCATGTATGGCTCAGAGGGGTTTGAAGTAGGTAGTGATGCAGCTGCAGTGCAGCTTCTTCTTGATAAGAGTGGAAGAAAAAAAGTCACTACAGAGAAAGTGAAGAGGGAAGATGTTTTTTTTTTAAACGTTTATAGTGATTTTGCAAGGAATAAAAGTAAAGGAAGGTAACAAACTACCGGTAGAAAACAGCCCACTGAAGCAATAAGGTGAGGAAAAAGGATTTTCTATGTTAGAACCGGGCTGAAGCATTTTGGTGAAGGGTGAAAAAATACTTTAAGCAAGAGGTAGAAAATTTTTTATTTAGCACAGGAAATCTCTGATTCTACATGCAAAGTAATATACAATTATTTTCATACATCTTACTTTAATCTCATTTTACATGTTAATTAGTCACACAGAATGTTATTAATACAAGAAACTGGCATTCACCTTCAACTATCCTACAATCTTATGTTCATTTCAGCCACATTTTAAAGGCACACAGGTACAAGGAAGTTTTGCAGCTCTACGTTATAAAACCCATACATGATCTACTTTTGACAAAATAAACTTTAAATCAGGGGTGTCCAACCATGGCAACCTTAAGACTTGTGGACTTCAACTCCCAGAATTCTGGGAGTTGAAGTCCACAAGTCTTAAAGTTGCCACGGTTGGACACCCCTGCTTTAAATGTTAAATGAAATGTTAAAACATTTCATTCTGCCAAGAGTGTTATTATTGCTGTAACATCTCGCTCTGTACAGGGGTGGGCTGCTGGTGGTTTGTGGGGGTTCAGGACAACCCCTAGCTAAGATTCTGTACAGTTCTGAGAACCCCCAAATCTCATTCCTGTCTGGCCCCGCCCTGCCCACCTCGCCCCTCCCAGGAGTCCCCACCTGGCCTGTTTTGGATGCAGGTAAGTGCAGGGTGTGCATGGAGGCTCAGGGAGGGCAAAAAGTGGACCTCCCGGAAGTTCAGGAACGCCGGAAATTGGCCTGTTTCCAGCTTCCAGAGGCTTCTGGAGCCTGGGGAGGCCATTTTTGCCCGCCCAGAGGCTCAAAAATGGCCCTCCCCCCACCATGGAGGCCAACTAGGCCACACCCACCATGGCCACACTCACCAAGCAACTGGGCAGAGAACCCTTGCTAAAAAATTTGAAGCCCACCTCTGTACCTTTTCCTTTCCCAGATTAAAACACTGCTAAAGAAAACCACCTTGAACAACAAAAAAGAGATCTTAAGCAATTTTCCTTTTTTCATTTTCCCCTGGCCAGAAATTTATAATTTTCTGAACAAAGGAGATTCTTATGCCAGAACAGATTTAAAATTAAAAATAGTTATTTCAAACTGAGCTTCAACAAGCAAAGATAGTGAGATCATTCTTACTGGGAGAATTCTTATTCTTATTTTATGTAATCAACTTACATAGCTACCTACTTGGCACACAACTCAGAGCAGCCTAAATCATCAATAAACAGTAAACGGTGTTATCCCCCTCATCAAACGCATTAGTGAGTTTATTCTTATTGGGAGAATTAGCATCACTGGAATGCTATAAAAACCAGTTTATTTTGTGTGATCAATTTATATAGCTATCTTCTTGGCACACAATCAGAGTAGCTTAAATCATCAATAAACAGTAAACTGAGTTATCTCCCCATTGAACGCATTCTGCAATAGAAGACTTCTTTGAATAAGGAATGTGAAAGGAAGCAGTTATCTGGTACCAAAAAACTGGGCAGGGTGTATATCGAAACTGCTGATAGAAGCATTCTCATGAACAATGGCATCTCCTAATAGTTACTAAACTGTAGTCAAGAGAACAGTTTAACTAATTTATAACATCCCAGTCTGCATGGATCAATGAAATCCAATTTTGCCCCCCCAGGCAGCTTTCATTGTCAAACAAATCCTCACTATGAGGGGAACCATAGTTAAAAACATTCTAGAATGTGAGCAGGCCTGGATCAGAGCTTGATATTGGACTACACATCCACATTTCTCCACATTTATAGTTGGCTAATATAGGCAGCAGACTGGCCATGAAAAAATGGGAATGACCCAGACTGTACAGCAAGTCTCATTGATGACAGTATCCCGGACTCTTGAGAGGCGTATGCGTAAGCACCAACACTCATTTTCTCCTGATGTTCATCTAGTATCAGTGCACTTGCTCTTGCTGATTGTGAGGCAAGGGAGAAGGTGGCTCCAGCAATGGGGCAGGTTGTAGTTTCCCGGATAAAGCTGCTGGTTCCGCTTCCACTGATTGACTGCCGTAAGCGCTGTCTTCTTTCAGCTCTGAGGTAGAGGAAAAAAAAAGGTAATAACTATTTTTTACTTTCACCATCCACTTGCAGCCTTACCGGTACTCCGTATTGTTACCTGCACTTTGTAGCTTGTCAAAAGTCTCTAATCTCTGTAGTAAACTCACACCTTCTGTCAGTCCCATAGAGCCAAGTGCTTCCAACAAACCTTCACGACTGCCACCAGAAATCTGAGAAAAATCAGAAATTAAAGGGAAACTCAAGGATGGCATCCATTCTCAAGTGGGAATATGTGAGAGAAGGATGACTGACCTCGTAGCTGAGTAGGAGTCTTCTGCTGGGGGAAACTGTGTCTTTGTACATGTCCACTAAACTGCAGAGACCTAATTTCTTGGCCAATTCTGTCCAATTTGCCCCTTGGCAGCCCTGGTTTAAGAGCTTCTCTAGTCTCTGAAGAACATCGTTATTCAAAAGTAGGATGTTACCTGACAAAGAGATGGGAGGTGGAGAATAAAAGTTATTTATTTGCAAAAAAAAAAAAAAATCAAAAATACTGCTAGTCTTACATTGCATTTCTATGCAGGAGGATACGTCCAAAATAGCACTGTGTCCTCTACGTAATCAGAAGCAAATGGGTACCCAAAATGAGTTGGCACATATCAAATCAGGCAAGTTAATTAGTTTGTAGTGGGAGTCTGCCAGATTTTACCCACCTTGGTTATGCGCAGAAGAAATACCAGCCTGCTTCTTTCCAGCATCCTGTTTTAAAACTTGTAGTAGTATCTCTCTTACCTACAAAGAAAGAAACTGGATCTGAAATATCCCTACTAAGTTACCTTTTAGTAAGGCAACACTTGTTAAAAAGAGATTATCTTTCCAGGGGGAACTGCAACAGTATATATGGGCCCATTTCACCATAAATGTAATGTAAAAAAACACATGGAGAGGAATGAGAAGTTCTTAATGGATGCGAGTAGTAACTGAATTAATTCACTGCTCCAACCATCATCTGCACAACTCCAGCCATTGCCTACCTTCTGGCTACAAGTCAGATCGAGTGGGGTATGTCCTCGACCCTGATTTGTTTCACGTGTTTTGGACTGTTCATTCTCCAATACGGGAATATAATCCAGGCCTTGCTTAGTCAGTTCACCACCAGTCTCTCCCGTTTCTGTGACCCATTCCTCTTCGTCCAGCTCAACGTCACTGTTTGGTTGGGATGAAGGGTCCAAAATGGGCTCATCATTTTCACATAAAATATCTGCTCCTGGGAAAGGAAATACAGCAGTCAGAACATTGCTAAAACGGAGCAAAGATTATGAATGATGTACATGCTTTTAAGCAAAACTTACAGAAGAAAGATCTAACTATGACAAACCTCAGCTATGAGGATTATCATTCAAAAGGCCAATACCGTCAGTGTGGCTGAAACCACTTTTCTTATCCCCCATGTCTAGAAAAATATTCTTAATTCCATCTTCGTTTGAAAAAAGAAGACTCAATAGTTCCATTTTTTTCTGTATCACATATCCCATCAAGGTTTATGTAGCACAAACTTATAGGGGCATCAAGAATCATTAAATATTAAATAAGTGGCTTGGAATCAAGGGGCATATAAATTTACTAAATTTTTTTTAGTAATGCTACAATCAATGTAGTCTGCAAGGTAAATTTGAAATTGAATGCACGTAAGGATGGATGTAGATTGAGCCATTCATCCTTTTTCAGGATGAATGCTAAATAACCAAAGGTGAATCCCAAATATAATTTTATACCAGACTCAAAACATTATAAAAGCAACTAAACAAGCTGGATTGAACAGTCCCAATCTGCTTGACAAAAACAGAAATGGGAGAAACAAATACTAGTATAAAAAGTATGTAGTAGATAGAGCCAAAAATATACAATTCAGGGACTGCACACAATAGCCCCTCTTGAAGCAGGATTCCTCTTTCCTCCCCCAATTCAGACAGCATTCATACAATCCACTGGACCAGGGGGTCCGAAACTCCCAGGCTGCGGCCACTACTGGGCCTTCTGGAACCGGGCTCAACAATCAGCAAACAGGGACCAATGGGGCTGCATGCACACCATGCTGCTCACACAGAACCATCCCCTCCCTACCCCTTGTCCTCCAAGCCACAAAAGCTGGGAACTGCTGCACTGGAGGATCAGAGAACCTGTTAAATGGAAAAACGTAGGTGGTCCTTAATTTATTATCACAATTTGTGACCAGAATCTCAAGTCATTGAACAAAATGATTATGAAGTGAGATGTCCAATAACCACTTAATTCAATAACCACAATCCCAGCACGCACATCCTTAGGTGGTGCTCAGGGATGTTTGGGGAATGGGGAAGGCCTCATCCAGGCCACTAACATGTGGCAACCTGCCACACCCTGGGGGGGGTGGGGTGTCCTGCTCCCTCTACCCTGTCAGAAGGCTTTTGAACGATTACGGAAATGGTGCCAGTTCCTACAGTACTTTGGAAGTTTCTTCTCAGAAGGAGGCTTCCAAAGCACCGGGAACAGTCACCATTCTCAAGCCTTCTGAAGGATCCCCCAAAAATAAGCCCTCCTGCAGACTGGTACGAAATAGCCTCGGTAGGAAGGCCATTCCCTGTGTTGGTTGGACATGCCTGTCCATAGCTGCAGAAACACTGCAAGTAAGTGGGGCAATTTGCAGGCCCTGGTGGGCCCTGTAACTGACCAAGGCTCCCGAGCCTGATAGCATGGCGAGCAGGCAGTTTTGTGTGAGATGGGTGAGTGGCTGAGATGGAGGGAGAGATAAGTAGGTGGAGGCAGCTGTAGCACCTCTGGTGGGTGGATTGTGAAGTGCCCAAATTTTTATCATGTCACCACAGGAATATTGCAATGGTCATTATGTGGTAGTATATCCTACACCAGTTATCCCCTAAATGTTGTGACCTACAGCAGCCATAACTATCAAGGCAGCACCATTATCCTGCCTTTCATTTATATTTCAACACGTTGTGTGACAATATAATTAAATCAACTATAAAATGGGTGTTTGATAGGAGATTGATGTGGCAAGGTGGAAACTGATAGTAAGAAACAAAAGTATCAGAATATGACATTTAAAATTTCCTGTTTTCAAAACGTGAATACTGTTTAACACAGCAAAGCAAAAAGTTGAGGAAAAGGTATGCCCCTTCCTTTCTCTAAACCTTTTCAACTAACCCTCAAAATGACGCTTATAAAGCACTGCACACCAGAACTACTATCAGACATAAGGAGTTTTTCCCCGAACGCCATCACTCTGCTAAACAAATAATTACCTCAACACTGTCCAACTATTTACAAAGTCTGCACTTCTATTGCTATTAATCTTCTCATCACTCCTTGTCATGCATCCCCTCCTACTTGTGACTGTATGACTGTAACTTTGTCGCTTGTATCCTTACAATTTATATTGACTGTTTCCTAGTATGATTTGATTGCTTATTGTACCCTATGAGTATTATTAAGTGTGGTACCTTATGATTCTTGACGAATGTATCATTTCTTTTATGTACACTGAGAGCATTTGCACCAAGACAAATTCCTTGTGTGTCAGATTTCAGATTTTCACTACTTCCAGCCAACCATAAACAACAGATACTAATAATACTAATAATACTTGGCCAATAAAGAATTATATACCATTCTATCTATTTATACCAAACCCACCATTTCTCAGAGGAAATAAATTATTCAGGATGTATTGAAGAAATGTATTACCCGCACTGATTAGCATCTTTGTAAGAATTGGAGAGCCCAATCCTGCTGCCAAGTGAAGGGGTGTATTCCCAGCAGACGTCTGAGCATTTACGTCAGCTCCCAGCTTGGAAAAAAAGGATACAGAGTGAGTGAAAGATAAAGGACAAACTTTCCTACCTGTGATTCCAAGATTCAAAGTAGATGCAGTCTATTGGACCTTGAAAACCCATGTCTTTCAGGAAAAGGATATGTTAATTAATAGTTAACAGCTTATCTCACAGATGCCAGCTTATTTCCTTTATTTCTTTTTAATAATTACAATACTTGAATGGAGCCAAAATAATAAATATTTTAACAAGTACAAATGTTACAACTAAGAAACCTACTGCAAGACCAATTATGTTTAGTGTGTATTATAACTACATAAATTTCAAAAAATTTGTTCACTACATTAGTTTCCCTCCTGATTAACTGAGCAATCTGCAGCAAGCAGCAAGTCAGTCAAATTGGTAAAACAGGGCAGAACTGAATAAAAGTTTTATGAAGGGGATGGAATCAGGGATGGCAAAATGGAAGCAACCTTTCTGTTAATCCTCCCTTGTATTTTTAAAAATGTTTTATTAATTCTACCATTTTATTGTCCGCATATATTTAGCTTTTATCCTTTACCGACATCAGCTCTACAAGGATCAAGAAACAAATACTATGTACCATTTTATCAGAACACCTAGAGTAACAAGGTCTTCCAAGAATGTGATTTTCACTGGAATGGAACATACAAAGTGAGAGTAAAATTCTCCACTTCTTGCTCTAAGAAATAGTATTCTGGATTCTCAAGATGCAATAGCTTCTTCCACTGAGGCAACTACATTCACAACAAAAGGCTGCCAAAGAAGAAATCCTTAAAAATACCAGCATTGTTTTAGTCTAGTTTTAGGATTTGGATGAAAAACAGATCACCTTTTAGGAAATAGTTATGAATCAAAGTTCAAATATATTCAAATCTTTAAGAGCTACTGTAAAAAAGTCTTGCTTTCCATTCCCCATAAGCTAATTCAGATATATTAATCAATGGATTTCTGAATGCCAGCGATGCAGCAATGTTGTCCTTTACCCACTGGTTTAAAAAAAAAAAGCTTTGTATTCACTTCTTTCTTAGTGCAACAAGGAGAAATTAATAACACATTTTGCCAAAACCAAGATAACCCACCTTCTCTAAATGTCCAAACCAGTGAATTTGATAGTTATGTAGACACATCCTTCAGTAGCTTAAAACTTTAGCTATTTAGGAATGGTTTTCCAAGCTACTGAAAATCAAAATGCTCACGATTTTATTATTTCTATTATTATTATCACTGCTGCTTTGAGTCACCCTTGAATCCCAGCAACTGCATGGACTAGCCCAAGGACGGCAAACCTTTTTGTTGTGGTATGCCCAAAGTGTGCGGGCGCATGATAGCGCACGCGCGTGCCGGCAGAGACGCTGTGGGGAGGGGCATTTGTCGGGAACAAACGTTGAATTAATGGAGCATTGTGTGCCTTTGCTGACATTGGACGTTTCCTGGACTTCTTGTTTTATTTCTTGCTTCCTGGATTAATTGCCTTGTTCCTTTGCTTCCTGGACTAATTGATTTATTCCCTTGCCCTACTGCATTTCTTGTTTTGCAGCCGTTGTGCTCACAGCTTTGTGCTGGAGGGGTGTGTGTGTGTGGGAACATTTGGGGAACAATAAAGGGGTGGGTTTGAACTGTCAGCTGACTTTGTTGCCTCTGTGCCATGCCCCGGGTCACCACAGTTCTCACTGCTACCACCATCCCAACCACTGGACTCCTAGTGAGCCTGCCCCACTTTAGCGGTCACAGTTCATTGTGAATTCCTGTGTGCGCGCCCAGTCTGCCTGTCAGGGGTCCACACAGCAGATGCAGCTAGCGGCTTCCTTCTGGTGGCCAGCCGTGGTCTTGTAAAACAGCTGCTCATTTGAAAGGGGGCAGCAGCTCCCAGGAGGCAAGGGAAAGCAAGTGGCCATGAGTTCCGGATCATGACCTAGAGCAGCCATATGATCTAGAGCAGCTGACAAGATGGCTCCCTGTTCTTGCCAGGCTCCTTGCCTGCTGCATTCTCCACCATCTCTGGCCAGGGTGGCGGGGTCCTTGAATGCTTGGTCTACTTGTCTGGGCTCTACACTGGATAGAGCTCACTGCCTCCTTATCAAGGGCCAACAGCTTTCAATATGTTGAAGTCTACAGACTGTTTCTCTAGAATGCTTCCAGCACACGCTCTGCAGCAAATGTTGAACGTGCTCCTTGAAGAACCAGGGCTTCTGAGAGAGAGGGGTAAGCTCAGTACTGACCAAGTCCATGTAAAAGCCCTCTGCCTGTTCTCAGAGCAGCAAGTCCCAGTCACCCCAGCCTAGGTCAGCAGTGTGGCATGGAACCTCAGCTGCCCAGCCTAGCTGTGTGACAGCCACAGCTATTCCTGCTGTTTGGCACCTAAAGGTCTCTGCATCCCTGTACCTCACGTCACCAGCTGACCTTTGCTATCTCCTTTTTCCTTATGTATTGTGTTCTTTATGTTACGTTATATTATGTTATCTTTCATATTATAATTTTGTTATGTTAGTTCCTCTGATATGAACAAGAATGGTTTGCTTATTTATCTATTCATTTATAAACAGTTACTTATAAATGGTCTGGGAGGATACACAAAGAGACAAGGAACCCACGACAAACTCTGCTAGTGCATTCTCTCTCATTTTCCAGCATTACAAAGTAGAAACTATAAAAATCTATCTTGTTCCCAGCTGGGCTACCATTTGTTCATGGTAACCTTTTTGTATTGTAAACAGATCTATCGCAGAACGGAGCAGGTTCAATGCTGCATCATTAGCGTCACTCCCACTCACCTTCTTTATCAAGCATGCAGCCATGTTAAGATTATCCATTTCAACGGCTAAATGTAAAGGTGTCCGTCCACTCTGCCATTCGGCCGCGTTCACATCAGCTCCTTTCTCAACCAGCAACTCAAGAGAGGCTAGGTTTGCACACTTCACAGCAAGATGCACGGGGAAAAGACCTGAAGCAACAGCAGTAAATATTATTCAACATTTAGCAGGACTGGGAGACTCATCCTTCAAGCCCAAACCAGGGCTGAAGCATCAAGCATGATAGAGGATTATTTACAGATCCAGACTGAGATGCTGAATTATACAATTGATAGTGTAGTACAGGTAATCCTCGTCTTATGACCATAATCACAGTCACCCTTCCTTCAACATCCAATTTGATTTCGGTGGTCTTGTAACGAGAGACTCCGGTTTCTTACAATTCCCGTATTACTCACCGAGATAGTTAGGTATCTCAAGAAGTGGGAGAGTCTGGGGGCCCAAATGACAGAGAAGAGTCTTCAACATCACTTCATCATCCAAATGTATAGCCAAATGCACAACTGAGTTGCCATATCGATCCAGCAAAGTGGGATCTGCTCCCGCCTGAAGTAAGAAACCAGCCACCCTTGGCTGATGGGTGATAACAGCCAGATGTAATGGTGTCTAAGGAAAAAAGGGTTAGAACCAAGTTCCGTCAAAAGATTAGAACAAGCTAACAAGATCAATAGATTGTCACCAGAGAGAATTTCTACTTGTATTTATATTTTCAACTACAAATTTACCCTTAGGCACAATCCAGAAATCAAATTACACAGAGCTGTACAGGTAGTCCTCAATTTACAATAGCTTATTCAGTGACAGTTCAGAGTTACAATGGCACTGAAAAAGAGACTTATAACCATTTTTCACACTTGCAACCATTGCAGCATCCCCATAGTAACATGATCAAAATGTGGATGCTGGGCAACTAACTCATATTTATGATGGTTGCAGTGTCCTGGGCTCACCTTTCACAACCTTTCTGACAAGGAAAGTCAATGGGGAGGCCAGACTCACTTAACAACCGTGTTACTATAGAACTGCAGTGATTCACTTAACAACTGTGGCAAGAAAAGTCATGAAATGAGGCTAAATTCACATTACAAATGCTTCAGTTAGCAACAGAAATGTTGGCCTCTATCGTGGTCATAAATTGAGGGCTACCTGTTTAAGTGAATGCAAGTATACCCCCTGATCAGATCTCTCCTATATTCATGCATACTCGTCTCTCACCACAAATGTGTTATCACTGAATTTGAGACACTACCTATTGTACCTGCTGTAAGTGATTTTTGATGTTGATGATCTGTTGATTAGGAACACTTATAGCCACCTGGACCAGCTGCATAATCACAGTTGTCTGCTCATGAATAATAGCTAAGTGCAAAGGCCTGTGGGGGAAAAAAATATGGATTTAAGAACAAAGAGATATAGCTGCTTAATTGTAACAGCAATACTAGTCGACAACCATAAACGAGAATTGCAATCCCTAAAGCCTCTTCCAATTTGCCCACAAACCCCAGGCATGCCTGGCAGTTCCCATGTAACAGAGCAGAAACTAACTGAGCTCTTTTTGTCTTTGTAACAGAACTAAGTGGATCATATCATCAGAATTCTGTTTCTGATTGATTATTGAATTTGTAATTAGCCTGATCTGAAGAAGTTCCAAAGAAGCAAGTTTTTATTCATCTTTCTTTGAATATACAGTAGTGCTATAGATTATATATGGTGTTAGTTAATTAAGGACTGTTTTATTTTGGTGTGATGTAAAGTGATGGAAATCAAGCTCTGTTTAACCTTCAGATTCTTCTACAAAATGTAGCATTAGTTCTCAATTAAAACAACATGAAAAATAGTTGGAACAACTTGAAAAATCTGTGGTAGCAATGCTACATAATGCACACTAAATTCATTTTAAACACACAAGTGCTAGCAATATAAAACCATCATATACAACTATGTAGAGAAGCTACTGAGATTTACAAACATTCCAATAACTTTCACAAGAAGTGAGAAAGCTTTGTATCATGTATTTTTTTATCTACCATTAATTTTATAACAATTTTCCCTTAGGTTGAGCTTGGCGTACATTTTATTGATTTTTTTTTTTTGCAAATGTGTTTGGAAACACTTGTTCCACGGTTATTATTTTTGAGAAAAATTGCCTCCATTTTACCATGTAATTTTATATTGCATGATAACATTATTATATTATGTTGTAATTCAGTAACAATTTATAGTCACGTGAAAAAGTAAGTACACCTCACGTAGGTTTTTTTCCTCTTTTAACATATGTGGATATTCCAGTACTTATCTTCATTCTATAGTTAGTCCTCAACTTACAACCATTTGTTCAGCAACCATCTAAAGCAGTGGGCCGCCAATTGGTGGGCCGCGAGAAAACTTTGGTGGGCCACAGAGAAGTCTCACCCACAGAGCACCCCCCCCAAAAGCAATTAATCCAGGCTGTGCAGAAACACAAGGCTGCGCTGCCCACATGGCCCGCGGGAACCCTACCCGCCCACTCACTCCTTACCCGGCAAACTTGCCTGCTAAATTGCTATTTTTCCTTTTTCCGACCATCATCTGTTCTGCTGTGCCGGGAGATTTAGATTAGCTAGGAAGCAGAAAATGGTTGGATTTCTTGTTTTCTAGCTAGTCTTTAGATCTTCGGCTCTGCTTTTAAATACAGCCGAACCTCCCTTAGGACTGAAGGTTTGCTTGCAAGCAAATTCAGTGCAGACTCACAGCAAGCAAATTTGAGATACTGAGCTAGTCAATGGCAGATAAATAGATCACTGAATGATTCTGTGAGCAACTCAATCTGCCTGCTTTGCCTGATTTTGGATAAAAGTTGCTCTTTTTTATAAAAAATTCAATATTTACATACATGGTGTGTTGTGAGTTAATTTTGTGAGTTTGCTTGCTAGCAAATTTTGTGAGTTTGCTTGCAAGTAAATTTTATATGACAGACTGAGCTAGCCAATGGCAGATAGATTTCTGAATGAATCTGTGATTCTGTGAGCAACTCAATCTGCCTGCCTGTTTGCCTGATTTTGGGTAAAAGTTGCTCATTTTTTATAAAAAAATATCAATATTTATATAAATATTTATAATATTTACATACAAGCCATGCCCAACCAGTCACATGACCACCAAGCCACACCCACAAATTAGGTCACACCCACAGAACCAGTTAGTGGTCCCTGCGATCTAAAATTATGAGTTTGGTGGTCCCTGAGGTCCAAAAGGTTGGCGACCCCTGATCTAAAGTTATAACAGCACTGAAAAAAGTGCATTATGACCATTTTTCACATGATTGCTGCACATCCCTAAGGTGACATGATCAAAGTTCAGACATTTGGTAACTGACACATATGTATGACAGTTGCATTGTCCCAAGGTCAGGTGATCAACTTTTGTGACCTTCTGACTAGCAAAGTCAATGGGGAAAGTCAGATTCACTTAATAGCCAAGTTACTAAATTAACAACTGCAGCGATTTGTGTAACAACTGTAACAAGGTCATAAAATGAAGCAAAATTCACTTAACTGTCTCACTTAACAACTTCCTTCAAATATTTTATACCTGTAATATATAGTTCCTTTAGAAAGAAGATGGGTTCTGGAGCTTCTGGTTGTTGTCATGGCGATACAGATGTGGGTTAGCGGAGCTCCGCAAAACCCAGCCGATTCTATTTGCCAAGAGGTCCTATGGAGCCAAAGCCACCCTGGAGGGGTGACAAAGATAGAGGGGCCCCTTTGTTGATCGTGAGGGATGGTGGGCTCCTCACCTGATCTGAAGGAACCTTTCTGACTAGCGGAAGAAAGGACAGCCATTATGGCCAGACCAAGGCTGTGACAACCAGGACGAAGGAAGCAGGAAGTGATGATTTTACAGCAATGTATTTGATCTGGGTGAGAGATTTCTAATTTCTACCTTGGACCTAACATCCCCAAAAAGTGGTTAAAAAAATTGGACTCTACAGTGCAGAAGGAAAGGAACATTTTTTCCCACCTCCAAAAGAATAGCAGTGAGTGAGATTTTGAGCCGATGACAGATCGAAGTAGAAGACAAAACAACATTAACAGGAAGTTAAAATCTAAAGTAAAAGGAAAGATGGACTGGTTATTTTAGGAATTTAAACATTGCTTAAGGCATTGAGATGTTTTCCCTCTTTGTTCTGTTATTCTGAGTGGAAGAACTTTTGTGGAATAAACTTGGATTTATAAAGGTGAAAATGGAATGAAAGCATGAGGGTGACACCTACTGGCTGGAGAAGACGTTACACATGTGAAGAAAAGCTGATAAATTAGTTTACTTTATTGTCCTTGCACCTCGTACAACGAAATCAAATACCATCTTCAGTGTGCATCATGGCCATGACCATGAAAATAAACACAAACACACATCCTTCACCCTTCACACATTGAATTGAAAACCCCCGACACCACACCAACACTGCACTATACAGCAGAATTCAAAAGAGCTACTGCCCTGGGATAGAAGCTGTTTTTCATCCTATTTGTCCTTGTTTTTATTATTCTGTACCATCTGCCAGATGGTTAATAGTTCAAAAAAGGGGTTCCCAGGATGAGATGGATCTTTGAGAAGGTTTTGGAATTTCTTAAGGCAGCGGGAGCTATAAAGCTCTTCCAAAGAGAGGTGAGGGCAACCCATGATCTTCTGGGCAATGACTTTAACCCTCTGGAGTGCTGTCTTATCTGCCACCGTGCAATTGGCAAACCATACAGAGGTGCAGTATGTTAAAATGCTCTTTATGGTGCAGCAGTAGGTCACCAGCAGTTTCTCATTCAGTTGTTGTTTTCTGAGAAGCCTCAGGTAGTCTAATCTCTGCTGGGCCCTTTTGACCAGGGCTGCAATGTGGGCACCCCAGGTCAGGTCCTCTTTTAGGGTAACACCCAGAAACTTAAAACCGGCCACTTGCTCCACTCGGTCTCCATTGATAAGCAAGGGCTGGATGTCTTATCTGTTCCTTCTATAATCCACTATAAGCTCCTTGGTCTTATTGGTGTTGAGGACCAAGTTATTGTCTCCACACCACAAAAGCAACTGGTCTACCTCATCTCAGTAGGCAGACTCATCCCCCCTAGAGATAAGTCCCACCACTGTTGTATCATCTGCAAGTTTGGCAATAGTATTACTAATGTGAGTGGGAATGCAGTCATGCACATAAAGAGTATAGAATAAGGGACTCAACACACAACCCTGTGGTGTACCAGTGTTAAGAATAAGGGCTGAAGAGGTATGATTACCTAATCTGACCCTCTGTGAGCAACCAGACAGGAAATCCATAATCTAAAGGCAGATTGAATTAGAAAGCCCAAGGTCCAGAAGTTTAGACACTAGTCTACATGGAAGAATTGTGTTAAACACAGAACTAAAATCCTCACATAGCCCTCCTGCTATTCTAGATGAGTCAGAGCAGCTCACAATCCGAGATTCCAAAATATTAAGGAGGAAAAAGAAGAAGATTTGCCAGATGTAATGGGTGAGATAATTGCAAAAATATTGAAAACAGAAAAAGAAGAAATTGCGATGGAAATAGACGAGACGTATAGAGTGCAGACAAACTATGCAAGAAGGCACAATCTTCCTAGAGAAATTCATGTTCGACTGATTAAGAAGTCGACGCACGATGAAATATTACACAGAACGAGAGATAATCCAGTAGAACATAACGGAAAACAAATAATTGTTTTTAAACAGGTGCCGAGAGGAGTTAGGGACTTGAGAAGACCGTACCACTTTCTTACAATGAAGCAAATAAAAAATACAACATCAGTTTTAGATGGTTGATGCTGGAGGCAATTATGGTCAACTGGCAGGAGGAAAGACATCTACTAGACACAATTGACAAAGCGGAAGATTTCTATGATCAAACAAAGATAGGAAATTATAGGCCAATATCTCTATTAAATGTGGACTATAATTTTTTTGTAACTATAATAGCTGAAAGATTTAAGAAAATACTAAATAAATTTATACACACAGAACAAAATGGCTTTCTTCCACTTAGACACTTTAGCAATAATATTACGACAATTTTAGACATCATAGTGAAGAGTGTAGTGGAGAACACGTAGCATTATTATTCCTGGATGCTAAAAAGGCCTTTGACAATGTAAAATGGAGTTTCATTCTGCAACAAATTAAGTATATGGATTTTGGGCAAAAATTCCTAAATGTAGTATAAGCAATATATAATAAACAACAAGCTAGGATATTGATAAATGACCATACAACAAATAAATTTGAGATATATAAAGGAACGAGGCAGGGATGTCCATTATCACCATTATTATTTATTTTGACTTTGGAGGCACTAACAAGAATAATTAGGAAAGAACCGGAAATAAAAGGACTAAAAATAAAGAAAGAAGAATATAAATTACAAGCCTTCACTGACGATTTGGTTTTTATTTTAGAAGATCCGCAAAATTCGGGACCAAAATTGATAGAGCAATTAGAGGAATTTGATGAAGTAGCGGGGCTAAAAATTAACAAGGAAAAAACTAAAATACTTACGAAAAATATGACAAATGTACAAAAAGAAAATTTAACAATGATAATGGACATCCAAGCGACAAATAAAATTAAATATTTGGGAATTGTAATTTCAGCAAAATGTATAACCCTCAAAGAGGACAATTATACCCCACTAATCAAAAAAATAACTGAAGATCTTAGGAAATGGAGCAACCTAAGACTTTCCCTTATGGGGAGA